AGACGAAGACCCCGAGTCTGTCCCAGTTGTTTGTGGTGCCGATTCGTGACAGTGAGACACATGTCTTTAACTGCTGTATTTCATGGTCTCTATGGTCAACATGCATTTTTTTTCATAAATAAAAAATTAAAATTACAACCTTTAAAAAACGATAAAGCCCCGCCTCCTTCTTCAAAATGATGAAACCGGCGACGGTTCCCAAGAGGACTGCTGAACTCGGCCTTCATCAAGGAGGAATGAAGGGGGTAGGGGGTGGGCTGGGAAGGGACAAGTGGTCCCCTGAGCACCGAGCAAGGGGAGGGCTGACTGGGGGCATGGAAGGCAGGACTGCGGGGAGGGGTCTCAGCGAACCCACAAGGATGCTGGACCCCTCGGGGCGGGCTGTTGGGAGCTCGCTGAACTGGTCTGCGGCTGGGCGGGCCCCTATCGACCCCGCATTCGGTGAGGCCCTGAGCAGTGAACAGGCAGGCGGCATCGGAGGACACACCGGGAGGTACGCTTGTCACAGCAAAGGTGGCTTGGACACGTGCTCATCAACGAGTAACTGAGTCCTGCAGGAGCAAGGCAGCTTGAAGTCCGAGGACGTTTGTCCACAAGTGTGCGGCTGGCCACATGCACCACTGCGGGCGTGGCAGATATGGCACTGGCCAGGGCACTGCCTCCTGACCATGGTGGAAACAGAAGGCACCTTCAGATGGGTGCCTGGGGAGAGCACAAGGGGCGGTCTGTGGATGGAGGGGTCCGTAGGGTTAAAGAGACCCAGACTGGGGTGAGCTGTTATCACCCTGGGCTTGAAGCAGCCCTGGGGAGGACTGAGTCCCACCCAACAGAAAAGTAATGGTGTCACCCTCGGGTGTCAGGAGGGACGAGGGCACCAGCACCCTGACCCCACCATCCTGCTCCCCAGTTTTGGCTCCAGACCCAGCCAGACCCGAGCGCAAAGAGGCCATTGATGCGCTTTTGCTGACCCCCCTCCCTAGGGCTCCCGAGGGGCACACGGAAAACATCCAGTCCGCACACTGTTTACTTTCTCAGCCTCTTCCTTCCCTACTGGACCATACGCTCCCAGAGGGCCGGGATTCAGCTGGTCTGTTCCCTGCTGTGTCCCAAGGACCCACACACAGTCGGCACTCGGAGAATATTTGCCAAATAACTGAATGGGAGCAAAGAAGAAAACCACTTGCCCAGGATTTAACAGCAAGTAAGCAAGAAGACAAGCAGCATTTTATAAAAAGGTAAAAATAGTCCTTAACAGGGCGTTTCCCTCCGGTAAACCGCTTCTTATTTTGGCCATTCTGCCCAAAGCAAAATCCAGCCAACACATATCAGAAGGGGAATATGGGAGAGTGTAAGATTGGCTGAAAAGATTGTATTTATACTTTGCTTGGAGTGAAGAAAAGTTTGGGGAAGGGGACCGAAGAATTTTAAATTGCCTTGAAAAAAAAATACAAGAAATACATCTTTCTCCTGCCTTTCAGACCTGTGGTCTAGGAACGAGGGGACAGTTGCCAGAATTATTAAAGAAACCCTGTGTTCAGCGGTGGAAAGATGTCAGGTTGTGGGTTTCTCTGCCACGGGAGGTTTTGGAGACCAGCGTTGTCTGGATTTGATGACAGGTAATGACATTAACTAATTACGAAACTAATCACATTTGGAGCGGTGGAAGCTGAGACCACGATAAGCGTGGTCACATCCCTGACTTCAGGGCTTCAGGAATCACAGGCTACGTTCTCTACCTTTGCAAAGCTTGACCAGAAGCCTTGCAGAGTCCTGTGTCTGGACGTTTTGGAAGCTACAGACACCAAGGCGAGTCGGAACCAGCGTTCTGAATGGCAGCGCCCAGTGACCCTGCTGGCACTCTGGAGACCCTCTGAGGGTCCCGACTGGCTGAAGATGAGTCTTGCCCACCCTGTCATCAAGAAACTCCATCAAGGTCAGTGCCTGGCCCTCCACCCAGCTTTCTCTGCCCCTAAAAGCCTGAAGACCCATTACCCACCCCTCTGGGCCCCCATCACTGGTTGGATCACCTTTGACAAATTCCAGTCCATTGGAGCCCCAGTTTCTTCCTCTACAAAACAGAGAAGAACTATCAGCCCCATTTGCCTTAGCAGATTGACGGGAGAATCAGCTGAAATAGTGTTCACTTAGCGTGTTCACGACTGTACCCGTCAACAAGGAACGTGTGACGGCATCAAGCCAGGTGACAGGCCAAGTCCCCGCGACATGAATGCCTCACTCGTCAGGCAGCTGGCCACCTTATTCCCAGGGCTCAGCAACCCCCCACCCCGCCGCTGCCTCTGCCCCTCCCACTCTCCCCAGCCCCCGGGGGTGGGGGTGGCCCACCTCCTTCAGAGCATTCTAGCCCTTCAAGGAGATGGCAGAGCCGGGAGCCAGGGCCCTGGAAAGGCCCTGGTCATTCTTCCCATCCAGGAGCATTCCTTAAGCCCCAACGCAAAACGTGAAAGGAAATGAAATCCCCAAAGTAAACACTCTCTTTCTGTCACTTGGAAAATTACCTGCATCTCCTTTCTCTTCTTAACTCACTCTCCCCAGTTAAAGCCATCCTTTGAGCTCGGCCTCACTCTGCCGAAGCCAAGCCATCACTTCAGAAAGGGAAAAACATTAAGAGATCCAGATTTCAATTAACTTTGCCATTGATTTTTGTGTCATTCTGGGGGACACATTGTTCTTTTAGCAAAGTGGGGGAAAGAACTCAAAGAAGGTTCTACTGCAGGCAGTGGACCAGAGCTGAGCCCCACCTTCCTGGCCCCCAGGACTGGCTGAAAAGCAGAAATATTAGGAAAATGGCCCAGAAGGGAGACCTGTGGCTGGCCTGCAGGTGACGGTGGAGGGCCTGGAGTTTAGGTGGAGAGCTGGGGCAAGCGCGCTTCCATGCTTCATTCCAATGTAATTTATGTATTTGGTGCTTCGCAAAACTCTCCTCTTTTAACTGTTAAAAATATACATATCCAACCTTTTTTAAAAAAACTGCGATTGTTTCATAACTGTTGAATACACGTCAGTCACAGCAAGGGACCGGTGGCTCACACGCCTGCACACACGGGCACATGCATACACACACAGGCACACGCGGACAAGCACATGCACACGCTACACAAACACAGTAGAGGAAGGCACTGATAGATACAATGTGTCACGTGTCGTGTCATTGGCTATCTCCTGGAGGGAAAGAGTCTCTGGGAAAAGAGATTTAAAACAACAGGCAGTTTAATCAGATAAGTACACAGCATTCATCTCTGTCCCCTGGAAGTATGATTTCAACGCAAGGCATGAACACATCTCTTCTGAACGGTGGAGTGAAACCTGCTGTCATGAGTGCTCTCAGGGGTGGGGGCGGGCCTGCCGGTGTGACGACAAGGAGGAGGAGGGGTTAACTGTTAGAACCGAGCAAAGGCAATAAGCTGTCATTTATAAAGGATGCACTTGGGAGTTTCCTTTTGGAAGGTTGATCCCGGCTATACTGGACTATCCTGAGGGCCTCTGTTCCTCCATCCTTGTCCTGTTTGGGTCTAAGAGACCCAGAAGGCACTTCATGAATAGTTGTAGGTCCGAAGACACCCCTGTGTTGTGAGCCCGGGAGCCTGAGCCTTGTGTCCTAACATCCGTGACACTAACCAACACTATCTTTAGTACAACTAAAAATGAT